ATTCACTCTTGTATTCTCCAGATAATCCCACGTTATCATTTGAATTCACACTATTTTCATGATAAATTCCATAAATTTAAATTTTTTTCGGGGATTCTTGAAGATTAATGTTGAAAACCCACGAGTGCCCATTGAAGATTGTGGGAACGGAAAAGGATGAGCCGTTAATGCTCGAGAAGAGGTGGAGTTGACAAGCGAAGAAACGCAGACATTTTCGCCCACGTAGACATCATAAAATGCATGAAATTTTATATTAAAATAGCTCCTTTCGAGTATTCATTAACTAGAATGGATTGACTATCCAGTTCCATTCAGTCGTGTAATAACTATCCTGACGATTACATCAAATGTTAAATACATTAACATAAACCTGAAATGATAAACTGGATTAAGAAAATGTCGGACAATTTTCCAAATTAAAATGTTAAAGGCAGATAAATTCGGTTTTCGTCTCTAGATCTGAATAAAAAATCCATAACTTCAAGTTAAAATTACTATTTACCACATTACTATATATCACCGATTCTGACTGAATGTTATGTAAATTTAATTCGCATCTCCAAAAATTCCGGAATTCCTTTTTTTAATTCTGTAAACATGGAGTGATGAGCGGAATTATTTGTCACTCTTCTCGAATTATCAATTATAATCTGTTTTTTTTTCTGAGGTGAGCCCGATTCATTGACAAATTCGCTGTTGGCTTTCTCGTTTGGGAAATTCCGTGGGACTTTCATCTCGAATGAATGAAGAAAAAAAAATTCTCGGTGTTTATCTATGAGTAGAAAACCGGCGGAGTATTGGGCACAGCAGCTGGAAGTCTGAGTCCGTTACGAAATAATATTGCATATTTAATCCCTGGAACCGGGTCCAGACGCCCACGTGCATGCCTGGTCCCCACCAGCTCATGAGGCCCCGAATGAAAGTCCGAATGTCATTGTAGCTGTTGAAAAAAATATTAAACTCAGCTAGTGTGACCTCCAAAGATGCATTGTCATTTTTAGCATCATCTTCCTCATCTCCATCTTCTCCATCTTCTCCATCTTCTCCATCTTCTCCATCTTCTCCATCTTCCTCATCTCCATCTTCTCCATCTCCATCATCTCCATCATCTCCATCTTCTCCATCTTCTCCATTTTCTTCAGGAAATTGACAATTTATTGTCATCACTTAATAAAAATAAGAGAAGAATCCATGATTTTAGGGTTTCGCCCCAAATGATTGATTTTAATTCGTTTCGCAAATATTCGTATATTAAAATAGTGAAACATAAATAAAAACAAAAATGAAAAAAGAGACATTTACCTCGGTGCAGGGGCCCGATCTATGAGTTTTTGGGATAGGAACATTAGTTTTGGTATAATTAAATTTTTTATTAATCGATGATTGATTTCGGATGCATTTTCCCTGTAGATGATGAAGAAGCCGTTAAAGACGATGAAGACATCGAAATTTGAAAAAGTCGCTTTCCTCTCCTACAACGCAGATCAGGCCCCGGGGCCTCTGGTGGAGACTGATTTCTTAAAAATCAAATTAAATCCAATTCTAATTTGAATTTAAATCGATATTATTTACGATTCAAATTTCAATTATTAGATTCCTTTATTTCTGTTAAAATCCCATTCTATATCAACCGACAGATCTCAAATATATTCACCCCCTGATCACATCACTTTAAAAAAACCCAAAAGTCCAGATCACTTTTTTTGTCTCTCAAAATCCTTTTTTAAAGATCATTACGAATGATATCGATTCTCTCATCAAAAATTCGCGAAAAAAACCTTTAAAAAATGAAAAAAAATCAAATTATCCATCTGCCATCTTCACATGTGTAAACCACAATTACCAACACCCAACTAATTCATTGAAACCCTGGAAGTGACTAACTTCGTACCACTAGCTTCTACCGACTTGGGAAAACGTGCGCGCCGGTATCTCGTAATATTCCACTAGAATTTCATAATTACTGCTACCAGTAATAAATTTATTAATCAGTGAATTCAAATAAAGACAATGGCGCAGAGCAAGCTGAATGACTTCGCTGGACGATTGAGCAAGACACCCGGAGGCATGAACATGGGTTT